CAACTCCATCTTCATTTCCATCCATTTCTAAAGTGACTCTGTGCCAAATGTGCAGCCCAGAAAGTTTTGTTCTCGGTGGCAGTTTTGTGCTATCAGCACACACGCATCTGGAAAATACGTGAAAATAAAATACGTGCCGCAAAGCCCTTACATTTATTCATTTACCCGATTACTTTCTTAATGGTTTTATTTGCCGCGTGCTTTCCTCTACATTTGCTATCCAAGTATCCATGTATCTGCATGACTATCTCGGTATCTGCCATTGACAAGTGTCACTCTTTGCGGTTTTTAGCCATACACACGTTGAAATTACTTAATAAAAGTGAAATTATACTTACGGGCATCTCTCTTTTTTGCCTCCTCTCCTCGCCGTGCCACAAAACAAGTTTATGAGTCGGAGTCTTTTCTAAGCAGAAAACGAGAGTGAAATTTGTTGTTAAACTAAGGTCCGCTGAGCGGAAGTGTAATTAGATTAGTCAGTTTGGCATTCTGCTTCAATTACTTTTCGAGTTTGTGGCCTAAGTCTTTTCTTTTCGCTTGCGTGAAAATTTTAAAACGCCTTGGCACTGCCTTCCAATTAACAGCAAAAGAAATTTATTTTGCAATTTTAATTACAACATTTGTATAATAATTCCTTAATAATAATATAAAATTAAATATTTTTTATCCTAGGCTCCCATTTGAAGCAGATTTTTATAATATATTATAGGATTATAATTTTAATAAATGCGATTCATTCGGTTTGCCGTCGACTTGTTTATTTTTCAAATTACGCACAAGTATTTCTGCTGGAATGCCTACCTTTCTGGGCGCGTCTAAAGAGGTCATTCGGCGGGGGAATTTTCGAGGAGGATTCGGGGTAACTTTCACTTGGCGCAAACGCTCAACCTGCCAAGACGACCGCTCGAAACGACGCGACATGGAAATGGAAATTTATTAGCGAATTATGATTTCTGGGCACAGGCTGACGGACATTCGATGATAAAGGCGTCCGGCCCAACATGGCTCGAAAATACCAGCCAAAAAATAAATAAAAAGAAAAGACCTCTTTAAAATGGCTACTAAAATTGCGGCAAATGAACTCTGAGCAATTCAGGGCAGGCTAAGGAACGTGACTGCGAGACTTTGAGAAACCGAGGGGGCTTTGCCAGAATCGAGGAGCGGATGAAAGAAAGTTGGCTGCTTTTGACTCATGGTGATATGATACCCCTCTAGCCACGCTATTCCCCTGACCCCTTGAAATAATGAAAACGAAAACATCGGGTAACCAGCAACTGCAACAACAACTGTGCAAATACAAGCGCACACAACAATTTTCTCGAATTTCTCGACGGGTTTTTTCTTATTTTTCGGTGCTTTTGCAGAGCCAGGCAAAATATTTGCTTAACAATTTCTACTGTAACAAATAAATAAACTTGCTGCCCCGGACAATAATGCCCATTAATTGTTGCGAGATGATGATGAAATGCGAACAAAGTTGGGGCATTGTCTCCCCGCTGATGTTGCAATCTCGTTGTCACCCACGTAAAATGGAGTCATAAAGAAGCCGCAGGTCCAACGAGGATGACTCAAAAGAAAGTGAAACTTTTGTCAAGGGGGGAGCAGCTACCAAAAATGGGGGAAAAATACAAGAAACCCAAAGAAATTGACCGAACGAACGAACGATGACAAGAAGCGAAAGTGAAATGCTTTCGCGGCCATTGATGATTCAATCTGCCACGCCCCTTAGTTAACACCATCAACCAGCCGCCCCTGAAAACTTGCATCCGAAATATGCGAAAGTTTGGTTATCAATCCGCACCCAAAAAAAAAGAAGAAAACAAAGCACGAAATATTTCTCATACATAAAACGATTATAAACTCTGGGCGGCTGTGGGATACTTAACAATTCAGATGAGACCACTGCGATAAGCATCTCGGTTGCATAAGTCCGATCTTCGAAATAAACGAGATGCGATTGTGCGTTCAAATTGAATGTGGGGTGACCAATGGTCTGATTTATTACTGCAAAAAGTCGTAAAATGCCAAGAAAACGGATTTATAATTTACAAAGAATTGCCCTGTACTTGTACCAATAAGGCAATGTGTTGAGCAACGTGGTAAGCCTAGGAATTATAACTTGATTGATGACTGAACTTGGAATTGGGTTACCTTCTAGAATGCGGTTCAACTCACAAACATGGAAATCTGGATTATACGAGAATAAAGCCGCACACTTATTGAGGCATTATAAACTTCTACTGGAAGTCCTGTTGGATTTTGGTATCCTCTTTTTTTGGGGAATTAACTGAAATGCGCTGCAGGAGCTTAAGCAGCATTTACCGGTCCGGTTTCAATTGGCAATGCGAATCGCAATTGACGGGTAAATTTAGCAACGGATTTGGATTCACATGCGGATTGGTGTGGTTCGCTCCGGCATGCGGGGCACGTTGGAAAATGGAAATTGTGAGCTGAGCGCTGGAAAAGCCGCGCATATAAATCGACGCCGGCTGTCAACATGTCGTCGCTGTTGCAGTTGCAGTTGCAGTTGCATTTGCCATTGGAGCTGCACTCATGGCCATGGGCGGCCAATTGCCGTATTGCATTTCCATAGGCAGGCCGTCCAAAGTCCCAAGTCTAACGTCTAAAGTCGAATGTCTGGTGGCGTCAATTGCGCACTGCTCAAATTAAAATGAGCCGTTAAGATGCGACTGCGAACGGGCCAGGTTGAACCATTTGGCGGTCGTGTCATTGATTGATGCCGCATAAACAATAACAACAGACCCGAAATGCAAGCAACCTAACCAGCTGGTAGGCTCTGCAAATACTCTAGAGCTGATAACTCTTTATTTTTACCTATTTCATTAATTCAACAATATATGACTTCAGAAAACTGGGAGCTGTTGCTTAAAAAATATGCCATAGACTTGCTTGCTTCATCTGTGCCATACGGCTAAATCAATTTGTTACCAACACCACAGTACCCACTCGATAAAGGGTATGATCTTAGGCCAAAGGCCAGAAGCCGTACGCAATGTCCATCTGAATCGCACTTAAATTTAAACTTCAACTTCAACTTCGACTCCGGCGGGCAATTGAAACGCTTTGGATTTGTGTGTTAATGGGGCTCGATCTGCGCCGATCCAGGGGCAGTTTTGTGGCATTTCGGGGGTATGTAGGGGATACGGGGCTGCGCGCTCATTACGCTCGATAAATGCGGCCGGCCTCGGAGTGATTCGAACGTGTAACGGCTGGCGGAGAAGAAAGCGTTCCGCCAAAAAAGGGGCACACACATAGCAGAAAAAACAAAAAGCTCAAGACAAACAAACTGCCAAATGAATCTCGTTGAGGTCAGCAATTGAATGTGCTCGATGGGCAGGCACCCAAAGGGGAATTCAATTAAGTTTTCTACCACCTGCGTGGGTGGTGCTGTTGGTGGTGGAGGCGGTGGAGGTGGTGGAGGTGGTGGTGCTACAGGTATGCGCATTGTTAATTTTTCAAAATGCAAATGCTCTTGCCAGGCAAATTGCCAAAGCAATCTCACCCACGGGCAACATAAGATACAGATACAGACATCTGCACTGCAAATAACGTTTGGCTATCCTTTAACTGCTCAGTAAATAGTTATCTTTTGAAGAAAGTGTACCTGTTTATTTTTTACTTTTCCCCAATAAATAGAGTAGTAAGTATAATATAATAATACAACAGACTAGGCAAATAAACATTTTATTAAAGAGATCGTGCAATGATAATACTTAAAAATATACATAATAAAATAAATACATAAAAATAAAATATATCATTCATTATTTTTCAGTGTCCAAAAGGAGCGTGTTACTCAGCCAAGGGGATCTGGGAATTGACATGTGTCCAGGTCCAAGTCGAACCGAAATCCGAAATCGAACGGTGCTTGGCATTAGTCTTGTGTCTGGCGACGTCCAGTATTTAACCACCCATCAAACGGAGACGCAGTCCAACTCGGATTTGGATTCGGACTCGACTCCGACGAGTCCAAAGACCAAGACATTTGGGAGTGTCGCCCGCGGGGACTCGCCTCGAATTCCGCAGCGTAGGCAAAAGAAGTGTGCATGCCAATCCACTCCAGAAAGAAAGATCCAAGAGGCAGCGGGGCACTAACCGAAATGTTTACGTAATCCCACTGGCGAATTATTTATGGGAATTATCATGCGTGTTGCATGATCAAATGGCTAAATACATATATGTATGCAAAACATTCTGGCACCGAGAAGCCAGGAGGAATGCAATGTGAGGGAATGCTTAAGAAACGGATCCAAGAAATGCAGGCAAATGTTCTGTTTTGCACTGTAAGCTCGTTTGAATCCATTTGAATTTATTTTAAGGCAATAAAAATGAGTTATTTCCTTAAAGTAACTACTCATATCACAAACGAAATTACTTGACATTTCTTTTTGTCCTGAAAACTATTTGTTAAAAATGTGTTTTTTACATTGGAGTGGAGAATGAGTGACAAAGAATAGGCACGAATGATAATAAGCTTACAAATTGTATGAATTTATTATCATACCATTGCATAAGGTTAACAAGAAATGTATACATTTTTCATTGTGTTTTCTATCACTTTAATTTATTTAAATAAATGTTTACTTAAAGCCCAATAAATTTAAGCTTCGTCTGTAACAAAAGCTTGAGAGTGGCCTCCAGTATTCCAAAGCTTTGCCATGTAGATTGGAAGGTGTTTTATAATCATATTAAACAAACTACTATACATTTTCTTATTAAAGCTGACACCTAATCTCTTGTGTGATATTTTTGAAACAAAAGCGCATTCATTTTGTAAAGAAAGCTTACATTTAGTTTTTACTTGACATTTCGGTTTCTAGCCGCGACACGAACCGCTGAACAACTGTAGTGCAGAAGTCTCCAAACTCTCCGCGCGTTTTCATCGCGTTTACCAATACTCTCGCCATCCGAAGTTCGCAAAGCGTTCGGCAGAAATCGGCAGGATTTCATCCGAAGTGCCGTCGAGTGTCCTTTAAGGCAATGGATGCTTCGAAATTTGCTCAGTTTGCGTGCGGTTTTCAGAGCAATAGGATGCAGCAGCAGTAGCAGCAATAATTTCAACAGCCGCCAATGAATCAGCTTCATCAGCGGGTTAAATTCTAGAAAGGAGTTGTGAGTCCATAATCTAGCCTCCCGACCCCACACCACGCCCTCCTAACCCACTCGACACCCACTCCTCATAGCAATCCCTACAAGAATCCAATGTGAATTCCAAGTAAATCATCCTGCAATTTGGCGCGTTTCCTGCGCGTTTTTACGTGTTTTTCCGCGTTTTTGCATTGTTGTTGCCGCTGTCATAACAGCTTCGAATTCTCTGGCGGTTTCTCGCGGTGTATTGTCGTTTCTAGTTTTTTTGCTTAATTTTTTGCAGTGTCCACAGTGATTGAACTATTTAACAACTACATTAAGAAAAGCTGAAATAAATAAAAATCAGTTTCAAGTGACTATTTACCGTACAAATTAAAAGGTAGTGTGGAAATTTGTGGGGTTTTTGGGCTCTGCAAGGACCCTTGGATTACCTTGCGGGGCGAGCGGAATCGGAAAATATATCTTTGCCGGCGGTGAGTCTGAACCCTATATCAACAAATACGCATGGCGTCAAATTCAGAACGCCCAAAGCCTTCTATTATTTCGTTTATTTAAGTGTTGGAGTGTTGTATTAGTTTCCATGTTTAATAAGTACGTGAATGGGTTCTCCGTTATAGTAAATTAGCCTTTCAGAATTTTTTTTATTTATTTCTGGCCTGTGAGGCTGTTACTATCTATTTAGTAAATGTAATCAGGTTTCACGTTCGACATACTTTGTATACTTTTCCTTGCATGTATTTTATGTTTCATAAATACTAACCAAACTAAAAAGCCCCCATAAATGTTTACACACTTTTTGTTTATACACTTTCATGGGTGTTTCTTTATTTGCTTTACAAATTAAGTGCGTGCCACAAGCTTACAGCAGCTTATATTTTAAATTGTACGTGAATTTATGTAGCTAGTGTGATAGGCTGGTGTGTATATTTGCGTATTTACTTAGGCTTCAGTTTTTGAAAGGGGAATTTGGTTTTACGAGTGTCTAATGTGAGTTTGTGTACATAAATATTGTGTATCTATGAAGATATTCCTTCCATATCATTACGGCTGCCATTATCAACGCCTTTATTACGCTTCCGCTTTTGTGTGGCGCCTCCTTTGCGCCCATTTGTTTTTCCACCGCCGCAAACTTTTCCCTTTTTTGTGCCCTTTGATGTTCCACAATAGTTGCGAAATGAAGGGTCAAAGGTCGGCGGTGGTGGTGCGCCGATGATAAGCAACTTGTTACGATGACCATGATGATGAGCGAATTGAAAGCTTTTTTCTGCCCCACCCGCCTGCGGTTTCGCCCCATTTCTATGCTCCCATTTATATTAGTGTAGATTCAACCTTTTTCGCAGCTTGGGATCAGGGCTAGGCCTGTGAAATCGAATCATTCTGTAGGCTTTATATTTAATTTGCATGGTCCGGTCTGGTCGCTCCACCAGGAATGAGTTAGGGTTCAAAGGGACAGAATGGTCTCTCTAGGAATACCTATCTTAAATTTGAAGTCCCTGTGGGTTAAACTTCCTGCATATTCTTTGGCCAGTTGGCCAAATTAAATTAGGGCGGCAGCAACAGTTTTGCGGCGGTTTTTCCCTGTCTGGCGAGTTGGGGAAATCAAAGGATCTTGATTGATGATATTAAACGTTCATGAGAGTGTAGGGTACGTTCATAGAGTATATATACTGGCTTTTATGGGGTCTTCATGTCTTTATGATGCAAGAGTATAGCGATATTATTAGTTGTATTAATACCAATTATATCCACATCTTTAAGAACATAATATTTATTTATGAACCGAACTCGTGTACTCAACATTTTGAACAAGCACATTCTGGTTTTCTCCTTTATTTCCCCGTCATTATTTTTTAGTCGTCCTTATTATTTCAAAAACTTTTCACATTTTTTCGTGCTTTTTTTGTGCCGTCTTGCTGTTGCTTCATTAGTTTCATTGGATCTGCCATTGGGCAATGCAATGCGATGCAATGCGGCGGCAACAACAATAATGTAAATTGTTGCCTCTGCCGATTTCGTTATTTCAAATTTCATTTCCATTCAGGATACCAGTGGAGCGACGGCGAAATAAACCAGAAAGAAATCGAAGAGGCTGCAGCAAGGAGATATTGCAGCAACAACTGGGATCAAATAAGGGATTATAGCAGCAGCCTAGCCCGTTAAGTGCTTCAAAGCACAGGAATAAAAGAGAAGGGGTCGGCACTCCCACCCACTGCCACAATTTTTCGGGCAGTGCATATATTTTAAGCCAACAAAAGACCGCAAGGACGCCGCCAACGCTGAGCAGCGGTTGAAGCGGCGCTGCAGCCGCAGAAAATGGCCGCAGTCACGAGTGCAGCGGCGATAACAATAGCAGCAGCAACAGCAGCAGCAGCAGCAACATGAATGAAACCTGCAGCAATTGCAGCAGCAACATTCCACGGCAACGCCGATGCTGATGCAGATGATGATGATGATGATGACGATGCTGGTGATGCAGACGACGATTACGATGATGACGACGTTGCCGAGTTGCAGTTTCAAGAGCCACAACACAATGCCAAGTGCCAACAACAAGCTGAGCGAAGGGGGAAATTAAGTGCCAAAGGCAACCGCAGCAACATAGCAACAGCAACAGCAGCAGCAGCAGCAGCAGCAGCAGCAGCAACAGCGAAAAGATTTTTCTCTAGTCAAGCAAAATCCAAACTAAATTTACATAACAAAACACGTGCAGCGAACAGAGAAGTAAAATCTCCATTTCCCAGAAGCGTAGTCAAAAAGGAGGCAGCAGTAGCAGCAGCAGCAGCAGCAGCAGCAGTTGCAGCAATATAGTCAGCTGCAACATGCCCAGCAGCAACATGTCGCCCGCACTGGGCGTTCGGGGGCGTGGCACCCTCTGGGCGGCGCTCCTGCTGGCCACCACTGCATTCTGCGGTGCTGCCTGGGGGGCGCCTACACTGGGTGGTGCAGCGGAAGCGGCGGTGGTGGGGCAGAAGCAGTCGCACCACCATTACCACCATTTGGAAATCGGAGTGCTGGGCAATACGCCTACGCTGATGGAGGCGAGCACCGCCAGAGGTGGGAAGCATGGAACAGTGGCCACCACTCAGGCACCACCAAACCACAGCACCACCGCCACCAGCACTACCACCGCTACCGAGATGGCAAGAGCCACAGATAAACTAGAAGTGGCCAAGGAAGTGCCAAGCGCTGAGGCAGAAGCATCTGCATTCAGAAGCACCACTGAAGGTAGCACCACTGAAAAAATCGGCACCACAGAGATCAGCAGCACCACTGAGAAACCAACTGCGACCAATGAAACACTCATAGGCACTACCACAGAGAGACCCACAACAACAGTAGCAGCAGCACCACCAAGCAAGGAAAGTAATAAAGAAGATTTGCAAGTGGTGCGGCTATTAGACTTAGAGCACACTGTGGCACCACCGCTGGACAGTGGTCACGATGGCCTCAAGCTGACCAGGAAGAAGCAGCTTCTGGAGCAACACTTTCCCACCACCACGGTGGCCACCACCACCATTGAAACGGAAATGGAACGAATACCCATAACCAGCAGCAGCACCACCACCACAGTTTTAAGCAGCAGCACCACCAGCGCACCACCCCTCCCGTTTGCGTTCCCGACGCTGCGACCCTCCAATCTTGCCTTCCTGGAAGCGATATTTTCCAGGGCGCCACCTTTACCCAGTGACTTTCCGGGAATAAAAACTACCACGACACCACCAACGCCATCCACGTTACCGCCGCCGCACCATGGCTACCTGGGACCGATATTTATGGGTGAGAGAACCATCGGAGTGGTGCATCCCCTGAAGAAACCACAGCCATCGAGCCACCAGCACGTGGCTTCGATTGAGAGCCAGTTGCGGAATGGCCGCTTGGTGGAGATTCTGGCGCCCACGGCGCTGCTCGAGCAGCTTCCCGAGCCCAGCACCACCCATGCACCAGCACCGCTAGGAGCTGCCTCGGTGCTGTCCACCACCGTTTTTCAGGTGCCCGATCTTCAGACCAGCACCACCCGTCTGCCCGCAAGCAACAGTAACAACAATAATGTCGCTGGTGGCGCCGAGGTGGTTGCACCACCGCGCACCGAGTCCAAGATCTCGGACATCCAGATCGAGGTGTACGACTCCACGGTGGATTCGATAGTGGCCTCGACGAATTTCCGCGACAGCGACGGCTTCTATGCACCACCGCAGAGCCCTGTGGAAACTGGCACCACCAAGCCGCCGCATGAGATTGCCTTGCCGCAGGAGCGGTTCACCCAGTATGTCATCGATCGGGCGGATGTGTCCACCCAACCGGCATCGGGTGGTGCCGGTGGTTCTGGTTCTGGTTCTGGCGCAGCGGTTGGCAAGCCAGAGCCGGCGGCCATCGAAATCCACATAAATGTGTCCGAGGCATTCGGCAGCGAGAGCGAGGATCTGGAGTTCTCCTACCGGCAGCCCTCGCTGGTGGCCGATAAGTCGGGCAAGTCCGGCGATGAGATTTTGGTAGTTGAGATCATTGACAGCGGCGCCGACAATAGCAGCTCGGAGTCGGGCGGCTCATCCGCCTCAGCGAGCGGGGAGCACATCAATCCGATCTTCACCTTCCGCAACTCGGATGCGGCGGCAGCACCACCGCCCCCTGTTCGCCCGCCGCAGTCCGTTCAGGATGCCGACGAGCTGTTCATGGCCGACCTGAAGGACGGCGGCGGTGGTGCAGTGCCACGCCCGCCGCCTCCACCTCCGCCACCACCACCGCGCAAGCCCAGCATCGATCGCGATTCGGACACGATCTTTTACATATCCAACACGGAAGTCAAGGTGGGTGAATCGCTGCCGACGGTGATGCCAGCGGGTGAGCAGCAGCGCAAGTTCCTGCTGGAGAACCAGTTCTTCCCCGCCAGCTACGTGATGGATTCACAGCAGCAGCAGCAACAGCTGCAGTCCCAGCAGGCAGATGAGGACATCATCCTATCACCACTGCACCACAATGCGGATGGATTGAAGATCTTCCGCAGCTCCTCGTCGAGCAGCGGCGATGGAGCACCGCCACTAGACGTGACCTATGTGGGTGAGTCGGTCATCGAGGTGGAGCAACAGACGCAGGGTTGGAGCAGCACGTCGCCACCGGGACAACAGCAGCAGCAGGACATAATCATCCAGCCGGCAGTGCTGCCGGATTTGGCTATCGGTGTGCCCGTCATCGGGGAACTTCCACCGCAGATCGAGCTGAAGGAGATCGACTACATGCCAGGCGAGTTGGGAATGGGTCAGAGCGGTATCGGCATCTACGAGAACGACATCCAGAGCAACAGCATTGACAGCGAACCGGATGTGATCGAGAGCTCCATTCAGTACGGTGGCGATCTAATCGACGATGGAGCAGGCGGTGGCTTCGATGGCGTTGAGGGCTCCTATCCCTTCGAAAGCCCCGCGCACCGCCAGCAGCAAGTGGGTGTGGCCCATGGACTGAGCCACCAGCCCCACCGCCAGTCCGCCAACCACTTGCACCGCGAACAGCTCCCTGTGGCCGAAATGGTCAATGCCACGCTCCTCCAGCGATATGATAGTGGATCTGGATCGGGATCGGGATCGGGATCGGGGTCTGCCTCGGCAATGGCTCCTTTGCTCGCAAGTGGAAGTAGCCGTTCTGGAAATGCCACAGCTCTCTCGGAGGATCCACTGGCTGACTACGATGGTGAGTTGAAGGATATGGCTATATAGATATAAAATATATCTGTATATGTTTCTGTTTTGCAGGATTCTTCAATCTTTTTGCTGTTTCCATGGGCCTCATCATTGTCATCCTGCCCTCAGCTCTTCTGGTATCCATGTACTGCGCTATAAAGTGAGTAAAATATATATACACGTATTATTATCGATATGCTCAAAAGATAGGTTTCTATGGTATCTGATAGATAAGTATATACATTCCCAAAAATCCATAGGAGACTCTTAAATCGGGAACATTAAAGCAAACCGTGATAGTTATCGAACCCTCTTACATTTAAGGCGTATCCATGGCCCGCTTAACCCCAACCACAGTCTCCTGCCACACAAAATGAACTGTCATTCCTGGGGCCAACTGTACCCGGCAGTATGTTCTTTTATCCAGGACTTCTTAGCCATTTGGCTGAGCTAATTGGTTACGCCTCGTGTGGCGCTTAATCAGCTTAGACGGCGATGTCCCACACAAATCAAAAATAATTGCAAGAAATTGCGAGGAAGCAGTGACAGCGAATGGGGAGCAAGGGGGATCAGAAGGATGCGGGATGGCGGATACGGAATGCGGGATTCGGGGAGCTGGATGAGCTGGGACTAAAGCCACCTTTAAATAGACACACAGCAGCTGTGGGTGGAGGAGCTGAGCCGTGAGTGGCAGCCAACCCTAATCCGATCCCAAGCCCAAAGCCTTCATTTCAAGGATTCCCTGGGCGAGATGTGTTGCCTACTTTGGAGCGGCGACCCACGCATGGCAGAAGAATGCACTCAATCTAAAGCAATTTGCCGGGGCAACCACCTGACCCCTTTCCGCCCCCTGCCTCCCCCCGCGACTCGCTGCAGGCAAGGCGTGGCAAATCGCATTTATCAGCTTCATTCGTGGCGTTTTATTTCTCATTCGCATTGCCAGCGACAGACAGCAGAAGTAGCAACAAAACATTGACAAATCTCTGACGGAGTGGGGCTGCTTTCGGTGGGTGGCTGGCAAATTTGGGGGCAATGCCAGGGACGCACATCCTTTAGCGCCCGCAGTCTGGCCCGTACATAAATCTTGGCCACGCCACGAATTGGGTTAAAAGCTGTTGGTGGAACTCCTGCTCCTCGAGATGCTGATTTATATGTAAAAGTCCCCATGCTCGTATATACTGCAAAATATAGCATAGTAGTAATTCTTGGGCACATTTGCTATTAGTGCTTATTACATTTGCAAGCAAAACGGCTAGAACAAATGACTAAAAGTCAACCTTTTTCTACATTTTGAATTCTTTCTTTTTGGTGTTCCATGCATAGTGTGCTCTAAAAATCATAATAAGGTGGCCACTTACGATAACTATACAATACAATATTAAATTTTACTATTAAAAAGGAATATAGGTAAAAGTTTACATTTCGTTGACCCAAGAAGTGAACAGTATTTCTGCCTGTGTACACACACACTCGCTGGGCACTAAATGCCAAACAAAATGAAATCGGGGAACGGGCAACTGGGACTGTCAGGTTGATGGGGAGCTCGGAAAAAACTGAAGGCGCAACAAATCAACACGGCGGAATTGCGAATCGGCGAGGCCGGAAACGGAAGTCGCCGCACGCACACACACACACAGACACACAGACAAAGTCAAGACAGACTCGCACACACGACTCATCCTCGTTCTCGGATGATGTAGATGCCAGAAGCCAAGAAGGCAGCTTCTTCTGGGGTAGGTGATCCCTGCCTTTGCCCGAATTTTGCCGCTTTTCGGCTGCCGCAGGAAAAACGCATAAAGCGGCAAATGGCAAACCACAAACGTTGCCAGTTTGTTGTTGCTCACCCTCGTTTCCAACGGCCACCAAAAAAAGGAATAATAAAGAAAATAAAAGGAAAAAGTGCCGTGAAAAGCCAGCGTCAAAATAAAAAGGAAACACACAATTTATTTGCCTTATTCCCAACTGGCGGCCAGGACATTGTGGGTACATCGGGTGTCTGGAAGGAAATTGCACAATAAACTCTTGAGACGAGAAATTAGTTGTGCGTGTGGCTCGTTTCGGCGGCTTCGCAACTTGAAATTTGTTGAGTGCCAATAGCATTACGAAGGCTAGGAAGGCTCATACTTTCCAAGGGGCCACAACAATGGGATACTCTGCGGGCATCGCCAGGATACTCACTCACTCACGGAGCGATTATATTTATGGCGCTTCGCGGGAATTTTCGCAGATTATTTCAGAGCTTAAAACTTCCCATATTACACTTTGCTCAGACACACGGCAACCTTAACTACTTACTACTTTGCTGGCATAGAAAGCGCGGGTAATTTGGAATTTTTAAATTTCCAATGTAATCAGATTTGTCGGCGTGGCTAGCATTCCCCTGATTAAGTCAAAGTATCGCCTACGCGATTGCAGGCTCCGCAAAGTAGGCAACAAAATGTTAATTTCAGTCGCGGCATCATTAGAAATGCATTGGATTTTGAAACTCTGGGCTCCAAAAAGCTGCGGCAAGCCGTCGACTGCTTAACAACTTTGCCGTTTGGCCGTTTGGCCCAAAAGACATTCCGCCCGTAACCTTTCACTTCTTCTTTCACAGGTATGTGCTGAGCAAGAACTCAGGAGCGGGCACGGGTGGCGCCCAAGGCGATGACAGCGAGCAGGGCCAGGACTCCAAGCACGAGGTGAGTAAGCCACAGACCCCCAAGCCCCAACACCTCCTGCCCATGAATCCCCTCCTCCCGCGCCAGATGGAAATTGAAATTCAAACGCAAGTGCCATCGCAGGGTGTCCTCAACCCAGTTTTCCCCCAACCCTTTGCGGAATGCACTCTTCTGCTGAAGTTGCGCATTCGGGGTCTCGAGAAAATTAAACAATGCTGGAAATTTCCGCGGGAAATTTTATTGCGCTGCAATTGAGGGCTGAAGATTAAATTGGATACTGCGGTCGTAAGTCTTTTGTACGAACAAAATGTGCCTGAAGGTGGGACATGAATCGATACAGTGTTACAATCACCTTAAAAGCTGCCTAACAGTGTGATGTATCCATTGCAATTAGCTATTCAATGAATAACGTAGAATACTAGTCAAAATACTTGATTGCATTTCCGAAACAGGTGGTAAAGTATAGCATTTAACAAGTTCTTAAGAATATTGGGCAGTAGCTAGCTAGCGTTTTAATGGAGCTCAAGTTGACTTGGTATAGGAATAAACTCACCCGGCTGGTATGAAATTTTCATGGTTTTCATGGATGGTGTGCGTGCACAGAGTGTGTGAAAGAGACGGAGCGCGCGCGTGAATTGCATTCCAGTTAAGTACAGTGCCTGCTCTCTCTCCTTCTCTTTCTCTTTCTCTTTCTGTATCCGCCTCTTGCAGTCGTCATTCTCGTCATTCTCGTCATCTGGCTCGGCCGCCGCTGCAACCATCCCGCAACCATGTCCACGCCCAGTGCCACCGCACCACCCAACGCCCACTCCGAGGCCCTCGAGCGGCGTCAGTCAAGGCCATTTACTGACGCCTGGTCTGGAGTGCCTCGAGTTTCGATTCGAAGGAGGCGGGGTGGGCCAGGTGGGCGAGGTGGTCCTGGGTCTGGAGGCGATTGCTGATGGTGACGGTGATGGTAAGGGTAATGCCTCCTCTATTGGCGGCGCAAGTGGTGGCATTGGCGGTGGCGGCTTGGCTCCCTGTGGCTCCGTCACCAAGATGACGCTCAAAGATAATCATCTGATTGTTGTCACCGAGGAGCGGCACGTAAGTTCGTTAGTCATCCGATCAGCCTGTCGTCCTCTTTACCGCCGCCGCCACCTCTGGCCAGGATTCTAGATGTGCCCTCTGCCTCGTTTCTGTTGTTCTCTCTGTCTTTATCGCTGCCTTTGTCTCTGTCTTTATCTCTGTCTTTGTCTCTGTCTCTGTCTCTGTCACTGTTTGAACTCTCCTCCTCCACTCGGAGCAGAATGTGCCTGTGCCTGTGCCCGCTCCTGGTTGTTGTCGTAGTTAGTTTGGTGTACTGTTCCTGCTGCCTGCCTATCCAAACCAATCTCTGACTTGGCCCATCACCGAATCCTACAATTTCGATTCGATTGCATCCAACAAATCGTTTTATTATGTGTGTTTGAAAAGCCTCTTTCTAACATGAATGCACTTTCCAGCAGCATTGTAAACTTACTTATTTAGCTTATGATTGATTCGATTTGGGTAGCAGCTACTATTATTTTGTATTACTTTATAGTGTATAACTTTTTATTTGTTCTTTGCCAAGCAGCATTGTTTCGCACACTTTAAGCTTCGTTAGTTTCTTGAGTTACCTTGAGGGGGGCACTTTGCTGTCTCTGTTTCTGAACCTTTTGTGTTTAAGTGAGTACTTTATTTACCGCACTCTCGCCCTCTGACACTTTGGGGAAGTGCTTTCCCACTTGTTCATTTTTCCTGGCCTTGAATGTCCTGTTGGTCCTGGTGGTCCTGGCACATCAACGGACTCCTGCGGGCCATGAGACAACGAACCGGGACCAGATTTGAGTCAGAAGAGCGGCCCGGTGTCGTCTATTTGTCAACTTAAGAGCGCCTGACCTAGTGTGTGTATGTTAGTGGTGTATCCTTGGGGCGTATGTGTGCCACAAGCATATGCAAATGCAATTTTCGACACTTTCCGCATGGCAGCCAACCGATTTGTCCGCTCTGTCGCCTGCCCCGCTCCGTTTTCCCTCCTTTCTCCTCGTCCTTTGACCGCTTTCTCCACTTTCTCCACTTTGCCCACCTCTACTCCTTTATCAATCTCGTATCCTTGATGTTGTAGCCGATGTTGTGTGCGTGCGTGCTTGTTTTGTGTGGGAAACCTGCACCTTCCAGCTAATATTCTGTGTACTTGGGTTACCTGCCCATCGATTTCAATGAAAATTTGCCTCCCTCTTCGCAGGACATTTCACGAAATGCCCGAGAGACGAAAATGCATACAGACAAGGACGGTGTCTTCGTGGTGGAGGTGGCCCGTGGCATCGACTCCAAGCAACTGACAGGCGATCTTTCCGGCGTAACCTTGGACGCCACCGAACTGCCCTTCGACAACAAACTGGCCCCGAACGGGGGGCACTTGCTGGAAAAGACTCTGCCGCCCAGCCGCGAACAGGTGCAGATCCATGCACCACCCCAGGATTTCGCCAATGGCCATCCTGCTCCACTGCATCTCATCGAGGAGGCGGAGGAGCACGTCGCCGAGGATCTAGGTCAGCAGGCAGTCGAAACCAACTCTAATTTGGCACGCACTGGACTCTCGCAATCGGATCTCAGCTCGACTTCGTCCAGTGACTCCAACAAGCGGTACTCGTACGGCAACCAGGAGCTATATGTCATCGAACAGCCGGGCTATGCCACCAGCTCACCCACAGCAAAGCCCATATTGATAAGTCCAAATCAAAATGCAGGCCAGGATCTGGAGCAGAAGTCACAGTTAGCCACCAGTGCTGAACAAACCGAAATCGATTCAAGCCAAGGATCTAAAAAGTCAGATGAAGAAGTTGCAAGGCCAGCAGAGGCGATGAAAGAGGTTCTTTCAGAAAAGGAGTTGGCCAATCCTGCCCAGAAAGAGGTAGATACCCTACCTGAACATGAGGGCAAGACCTCTCCCAAAGACGCGGTAGATGAAAAACCAGAAGAGTCAGTTGCTCCGGAAAAGGTGAAAGAGGTTCAACCCAAAGAGCCGAAAGTGGTTTCACGCAATGAGGAAGAGGTTCCACCAAAAGAAGATATGCCTCCACCAACTGTTGAAGTCTCTCCACCAAAGGAAGAGCAAGTTGCGATTGCGAATGAGGAGGATGAGCAGAAAGAGCAGGATCAGGAGGAGAAACCAGACAACCAAGCCAAAGTCCAAGCCGAGTCAAAACCAGTTCCCACTGAAAAGGAGGCAGAGTTACCCGGTGAATCACCGAAACCAGAGGAGACAGTGGAAGTCCAAAGCGAGCCGGAGGCCGAGAGCAACTACGACAGTCTGATGAGCCTGCCGGCGCCACCATCCACTGAGGAGATCAAGGAGCTGGGCGACTACGCCCTCATGGAGTCCAACCAGTTGGACAGCCTGCCACCACCACCACCGCCGCTCCAGGATGTTCCCAGTACTCCGCCTGCGAGCGGGAGGCCCGCTACCATCAATGTCAGCAATGGGAATGGGATTGGCAAGGTCACGGTGGTGACCACCGGCGCCGGAGGAGTTGGTGGTGGGGCCGAGGAGCCCTCCACCCTGACACCACCCGCCTCGCCGCCCGCCACTCCTCCGCCATCGCAGACATCGACGCAGTACGCCAGCAATGGACTCTCCAATGGCATCCATGCCCTGGCCGTGGTCGATGTGAATGGCAGTTAAGAAAGGCCAGGTGAGATGGTCACATAAGTATATATGTTTTTTTTTCATCAGATCTCGTAGAGATCAGCCGTGGTGGCGATATTAGCTATACCACGAAGAGAAGGATAGCTCGTAAGGATTACTAGGAGTACTGAAAACCCAAATAGGGAAAACATGAAATGTGGCAAAAACGTTCTCAACCAAAAACTTAAATTTAAATATACACGTACACTTAATAGAGAGAAACTTTTTCCACTTACTGTTTGTTGATTTTCGAATATAACGAATAATAACAATTAAATGCGATTAATATAAAATATAAATATAAATCAGAATTAATTGTTTGTCTATTTGCGGCTGGCGGCCTCTCCCCCCACCTACCATCCACCCACAACCACCCACTCGACCCACTTCCCACTCCATTTCGGGGGGTCGGTGCGGATAACGAGTATTTCAATGTCTATAAATCTACAATAAAGCTAACAAAAAATACAAAAATAACAAGAAAAAAATAGTATACAAATGGAAAAGCAAATACAAATATAAATACGATGAAATCTGCATGCAAACTACATATGAGCATATGATAAAAGAAATGCGATACATAGGCAAACAGAACAGGACTAGGTGCGCCAAAAAGAGAGTAACTACCGATATGTAACGACGCATAATTAATTAGGCTAATTATTTACACACACAACAATGCCAAAAATGGTAAATGGTAAATGGTGAATGTCAAACGAGCAGCAACCGCATAAAGAGCATAATTGTAGTGAATTCATTTGGGTTCGATTGGATGGCCAACAACATCAAAGTGTGTCCTGTGTCCGGATTCCATTGAGGTGTAGGTGTCAAGCGGTTTAATTAGCACAAATCCGAGAGGAAGTCCGAGTTGGTTTCAAAAACATCAATTGTTTTCTATAGGGATTATATTGAAAACGGATTTCCGATGCATACGAAGTCAGTTTAGCAGCCATTTTCATATTCAGGGTCTATACTAGAGCCCTACATTTCCTATTTCCTATTTTTGCAAATTCCTGAATACAGAATTCCGTGTGGCAAGTGGATAGTTACATATTCCGGACATAGGCACACCCAAATATCGTTGATAGTTCGATATTCAGATTTCGCAAACTACACAATTCACTTGACAAAATCAAATGTGCCGAACTTTTGTAGCAAGCCAACATAATTTACAAAGAGAAACGAACAATTTATACAATGCCAATACGGTGATTACAGCATAATATATGTAACCTTTTAAACGATAATCTAGTCATAGTCCTAGTCGAGAAACCATGCATAACATATGTGTACGTATATTTTTTTCGTGTGTGTGTATGCAAAATTAGGCGAATCGAGTATTTAAACTCCAAGCAAATGATAACTAAATGGCTAACGATAGATATAAGATGGGATATGGCAAACTAGATGAATGCTGATCGTGAACATTTTCGATATTATTGCTCCCATTAATGGTATACACACATATATACAGCATATAGAACAAAACTTAACTCTTTGAAATAAATTCTTAGAAGTTAAGCCAAACGGAATAATAAAGTACAGCCCAAAATCCGTGCACTGCAAGTGGCGCGTTTTAGTGTAAGTAGTAGGAATTATCTATGCCCCGGATATATTGAGATGGGGTCGGTTATTGGTGGAACATAATCCCTGGCTAACGATTTAACCACTTTTGTTGTTTACGTTTGTTCCAATTGTTTTATTGACAATTAAGTCCGACGGTCGAGCGGGGATGCCAATGAGAAAATATTATGAATATTACAAAATGAATAGCCCGAAAACAAAATACTAATCGTAAATCAAATATAAAAGTTAGGAAAAGCGTGCAGACATTTTTTTTGGCGGGATCGAACGAAAACAAAAGAAATAAGTAAATGTGATTGTTATTTAAACTTAAGTTATTATTAAAATCGAACTTCAACTGACATGTGTGTATGTGGGTTTAATGTGAGTTTAAGCAAGTAGCAAGCCAAATGGAACGAAGCGAAACAGAACGAAACGAAACGATACGAATGGCAATGGAACGCCGCAAGGCAAGCGATAAGCGATAAGCGATTACCGATTAACGATTAACGATAGCTGGCAACTAGGCGAGTTTCAGGCACTGCTAAAAAATATAAGAAAAACGGGGACTCACCCGAAGTAAATTCAAATGAAATTCAACATTAAGAAGAATGGCAAACCGAAACCAAACGAGAAATACACACAGAAAGCAAAGTCAAGCGAGTGCATTTTCCTTGGGCGGGGGCCATTGGCATTTCGGCATTTCGGCATTTTGGAATTTTTAATTTTCCATTTCCCATGTGTTCCAGACCAGACTCCATCGATTTGCGGGCTGCCATAAAATCGAACGGAGCAGAGCCACTCAGGCGATTTGGTTCGGTTAAAGACCCATAAAGCCCCGTCAGTTGAGGGCGTAAGGATGCCAAACTACGGGTATTTGACTGCAATGTGGGCAAAGGACGAGCTGCGAATGGGAGCGCAAGGAGCAATGAAGCGGAAGTGAGGTGGTCCCGGGAACTGGGCGGCCAGGAGGGGTTCTTCAAAGGGGCGTGGCAGCCCGGACCGAATTGCAGCCAGCACTTGGGCTGGACGTTTTGAATTTCAGCTGAGGCAAACAGCTACAATCACCTATGGATGCTCGTACCTACATACATGCATACAACCGGCATGAGCATGGAATGCTACCCTGGAAATTCCCGGTGAGTTTGCGGCTGGGTACAACGGACTATTGGTAAGGATTGGATGGTAACGGTAAGCAAAACTCCTGAAGATATTGGTAATATAAGAATTCATCTACAACTTTTAAAGCCACTCTTAGAATGAAAAATACGCTATTAATTAATTAATTAAGTTAACGCGAAGAACTGTATACGGCAGAGATGTAATGAAATGCAGTGGCTTATCTTGACATATATTTTCCAGGGTATCTTCTAATCGTTAGCATAGCTCCTACCTTTTCCCTTGGCTTCGTTTCCACTTAATTGTGAGGCAGCTCATGTTGTCTGCTCGTTCCGTTCGGGCTTTAACTTTTTTACTAATTTTAAATGGCGCTTCCGTTGAGCAGCGGGATTCTGAAGGATGTGGACGTGGATGTGGAGAAGGAGAAGGAGCAGCAGTTGGCGGTGGAGTGGTGCGGATGGAGGGCAGCTGCCAGTGGTGTTGGGGGCTCTTGTTGTCAAGTGCTGTCCTCCTGTGTGTGCTCGAAAGTTGAGTCGACTTGAAATTTTAATGAAATGCGCTGCTGCTGCTGCTGCTGCTCTCGAGGCTCCATCTCCATCTCCATCTCCATCTACATTTGCGTCTATGTCTATGGGTATGTCTATGGCCCTCGGTTTTCTAGCTTCTGGCTCCTGACTGGTGGCCACCAGCTCCCAGCATCCGTCTGCATTTCAAATTATTTTTAATTGTCATTTCTGCGGCAACGACGGCGATGGCGTCTCATTTTCGGGCCTGTCAAAGGCATAAGGAGTTGGCCGGTTGGTTTTTGCCTTTGCGGCCATTGGCGCATTTGCGGCAATCAAAATATTTATGCCATGGACAGTTGATTAACCGCAAACGGGCAAATGGGGGCTGCTGGTCTTCTCCTCGTTCATAATTAAAATCAAATTAACCCACACACACACACAAAGGCGGTACCAGCTAGCACCACCGCCACGTTTTCGGCTCGTTCGTTTTGGCCCAAAAAGGGGTCAGGGTTTAGTTGGATTTCGGGGGTGCTATTGCCATAATTTCACATTTCGGTAGGCATTATGCAATTTGCTTTGGTTTCCCCGTTCCAGTTCCAGTTCCAGTTCCCATTTCCGTTCCTGTTCCTTTGCCACACCGTTCCCCACGCCCCAGATCAAAACCGGCAATCAGTGCCATCGACGCACTGGATACAATTTATTCCGGCCGCAGGGCGGCCCAAAATGAAATTGACATTTGTAACGGCTGTGCGCAAACTAGAGTCCTTTATCCCTAGTAACACCTAGTAACAAAGGGGGTGGCGGAAAGCGGTGAGCGGAAAAGTCAGGAGGGTCAGTGCAATTTAAGCCAGAACACAGATCATTAATCAAACAAGTGCACAATGGACAAATGGGTTGCTGGGCAAGAAGAAAGCAATGCGATTGAAAATTTCCAAATCGAATGTTGTTTACCCATATGCAAATAAATGGAATGGAAACAAATTTGAGCATTGTAATTCAACAAATTAAAAATAAATATTTGATTTAAGTGTATTGCAACTAAATGTGCAACAATGAATGCAAGGAAATCATATACAATTGTTAAATATTTCAGATTTAAATTTAAAGTCTATAGTTGCTTGCAAATACTAAACAACATTCCACAAAGATTTTGCCCATATAGTGTACATCCTTTTTTCTTTTCCCGAATAAAGCAATTGACTAATTAAGCAGATTGCATGCAAGCCCCATTTGTCTGCTCTTTTTTGCTTTTGCCAACAAATCAACTACTGACAGAAGGCAGAAATAAATGCATTTGGCTTAAAATGGTGAAATAAGTGCGATAGATTGATTTCTGGCACGTTGCGCTGATTGTTTGACTGAGTGATTGATTGATGGACGTACGAATAGCTGCAACAATTTTTGCTTGATTTATGGGTCAGTGCCCTGCGCGCATAATTGAATTTAATTTGTTACAACCGAAAAAAAGACAACAATCATATATCTGTGTAAAGTATAGAGTCTCTCCTAATGAATTTGCAAGATACAACTCGATTTTATATGCTACAATTTGTTAAGCCATTGAACCAATTAGTTTTTATCAAAAGCACCATCGACTTCTGCGAGCAAGGGAATACTGCGAAAAGAGCCAAAATAAATCAAAATAGGTCGCCGATGCGTGGCCAGCAATTTAATTGATTCAAACAATTCAAACGATTTGCACATTAAAAAGTCCGCTCTCGGCCGTTTCGGCCATGGTTGGCAAATCAAATTGAAATGCCAATTGAATGGCCGAAAACTGGACTGCAGACCAGGTCCATTTCCCATGTTCGAAAACTGCTGGCATGAATTTAATTTTGATTTTTATTTGGATTTTTATTTGGTTTTTAAAACGACGAACGATTTAATTGAATTGCTCACGGTCCGGTCACCGAAAATCCCATCCTGGATAATATGCAAAGTGGGCGGGGCGGTTTGGAGCGGAGCTAATTTCATCGCCGGCCACGTTTTCCTCCGGCCAAAATGGCCAAAAATCAAATTGGTGGGGGGTGGGAACCGGAAACGGAAGCCGTAAAGGAGTGGTGGAGTGGTGGAGGAGAACAGGAGGACCGGAAGGATACTAGGGTCGTCGAAACTGGTAGCCATTGCCATTGCCATTGCCTTTTTCATGTAGCCGCAAATTGAACAAGCCGGATGGGGGTTATTCGAATATGTATGTATGTATGGAGAGAGATATAATGCAGCATATATGTTATGTTGGTGGCCATAACCGAACTTTAAGTGCCGTCCTTAAAGCCATCGGACGGAAGCCAA